TGCGCTGCCTGGGATAGGCTCCAGGTCCCTTTGTGACCCTACGCTGCCTTAGTCATTGTAGGATCAATTTACAGACATATTTTTGCATATTGCTATATCATGACCATTTTAAATGACCACTTTTTTGACAACCCATAATCCATAAAGTGTTTAATAAATATTTTGACACCCTGTCTTTGTACCCAAGGGCTGCATGTTATGCAAAACCTGCTACTGCATTTGTGTGAGTCAGCGCTTAGCGACGCGATGGAGCAGCTCTTGAACCATGACTTGTCGTTTCATACCGACTACTACAGCCATTCCAGCAAAAGCAGCCTCACGAGGCATAAATAAGGGAATCCTGAGTTGCCGTTCCTTTGGCAGGCGCGGCATTCAAAGGGAGCCCCAAGCGTCTGTGCCAACCGGAAATCCCCATTTATACACAGCACTTGAAAAGAATTGTACTTTTCACATCGAGTTTAGTTCTGTTCTGTGTGTAATAGTAGCACACAGAAAGTGCCTCAGAGTCACACCACGACACCGGCGTCTTGTTATTGATGTGTAATAAAAACACTTCAAGTTACTGCCTCTATTATTTAACTCAAACCACTTGAAGGAGTACTTATGTTAGCAGGTTCAATATGAAATTAGGCCAGATTTACTCTTGCCCCGCAGAATAAATTCAACTCTGATCTGTGCCAAAGGATTGAGGTTTATAAGCTCTGCCATGCAATGAAAAAATATCCTCAAATTGTTTTTAATAAGTTTTTTGACCTGGAAAGGGCCTTTGCGAATGAACTGCAACTCCAGCAGAACACCATGAGATCCATATCATCTGAGTATGTGGTCGATCATCTGAGTATGTGGTACCATTTACCAAAATCCCTCCACGAGTAAAACATAAAATCATCGACAGTCACAAGAAACACTAAAATGACAGGGATTTTTCAGGATCCTCTCACCTAAGCTGAGGACACCCTTAATGACTCTGAAGATTAGAAAGACACTAAACAATAGTATATGTGGGAGTGCAGCAATTTTGGAAGCATTTCTTGCTAAAAGAGAAACATGAAAGTGGCTTCCAATTGCACCAAAGCCCACCCGTGTGATCATCAGGAGTTCAGAAATAAAGCTCTTTTGAAAGATGAGTCAAAAAAACACACTGCACCCCAGAGTGAGAAATTGTACCAGTGATCTAGTCTGGTTGCGATATGCGGACAAATTGCAGATAGTGTTGCGATATGCAGACAAATTGCTGTTATTGAAGGAACAGTGAGCGGCTCTGTGCCTGAGAATCATACATAAGAAGGTCAGGTCAGCCATCTGCGAGCAGAGACTGATAGAGAGCCCCGGTTCTGAGCAAGACTGACCAGAAACATGCTAGCAAGTCTGTATTAAAATGACAGAGACATAGGAATATCAAAGAGCTTGGACTGATAATGATATTGGCTCAGTTGGTAGCACTGTAGCCTCATTTCTGTAGGTTGTGGATTCAAATCCTACCTCCCCTCTGTATGTAAGGAGTCTGCATGTTCTCCTCAAACCAGGAGGGTTTCCTCCTGCAGTCCAAAAGCATGTAGTTGCTAGTTGGCATCTCTATATTGTCCATGGAGTGTGTGCAGAGTTGGGTGTGCAGGTCCCATGAGTCCTGCCCAAGATTTTGGATCAACCAATCAGTTGAGTATAAAGAATCACAGTCACTGAGTTTTCAACTGGTTGGTTTAAACAAAATCTTGGTCTGGACTTTTCCTCTGTGGACCTGAACTACCCAACTCTGAGTGTGTGTTTGCCTTGTGATGTACTGGCCAATCCCATGCAATATAGGGCACAAGGCTGGGGTTCACCCTGCAAAGGATAGCAGTCCATAACAGGGCACACACAGAGTTAGTCTGAGTCTCTGGTCTGCAGAAAAGCCAGATGGCACAGAAAGAACAAAGAACTTCCACACTGAGACCACAAGGGATTTAATCTTTCATCAATTTATATTTCATAAATGACACAATTGTACAAGAAAACGATATTCCCATTAGAAAGTCCTTTTCTTACACAGGGCAGCAGCAGTGCACTTTTGATATAACATTTTGCCTTCTTCTACCACTCATGGAGTTCATGAGCTTTACTTGGAAAATACAAATCCACATGCAGGTCACTTGTCTGTCATGATCCTGTTTGGGTATGTCAGCAAAAAAAAATTTAAAAGATCACCTATAATCTTTCCCACCATCTTGCCCACAGAACGGAACTGTTCATACTTCAAACATTTCAATCCTGGGGAAGATGCGGAGGTTTTTGAAGTTAAAACTCAGAAAGGTAGGTGATGTATTCCAGCTTAACAAATGCTACTCTCACACATTGCATGTACTATACACTGTAAGCTGGATATTTGAAAGGCCTTCCTACTTTACCATCACATCTGAAAAAGATATCTTACCCGGAGTTAAATGTATTTCTTGGACAAGTATCGATAAATGCCACAAATTTACACAGGATGGAAACTTGTCTTACAAATTACCTCAGTGACATCTGTGCAGATTGCTTCAGTGTCTGTCTGTCATCCTATTTATTAAATGACAGGAAAATTAACTCTAACTGAATTCATCCTAGTCTTGAGCATTATTAACAATTATTAACATTATTAAGTGTTAGCATTTCAAGTATATAGCCTTTATAATATGGAATCAAGCTGCTTCTATGTATCACTGAAGAGGTTATTCCCCAACTTGGTCCTCATCACACACTGTGTAAACTTCTCATACAATTTTCCAAACTTTAATAAAAAACCAAATGGTGTAACTATTTAGTTTTAACAACTTAATCCTCGGGGCCAAAACTATTTGAAAGGATATTGGAAAATCTGTAGTCATTTTTTTCCACCATTACAATTATTCATAATGATAATTTAGTTTAACAAAACTGGGGGAATTAAAGCGATTGTGATTAGTCAGTTGTTATTTTAATGGGCAGAATCTTCAAAATATAGAAAAGCAATTCGGTGAACCGTATTTCAATAAAATAGAATTAAGATGTTAGCCGTACCCATAACGATCAGCTTTGGGATGCTTCCATAAAGGCTTCTGTTTCTACTGTTTCTCCTGTGGGAGGGCCGGGCTGTGGGTGGGATTATCCAGCGTTCTTAATCAATGACAAACCCACTTCCCACTCCTGAATTAGTTTATTCCCACCGGCCTAAAACACACTGATCCCACTGTCCATAACGTCTGAAGCCTCCTGTCTACAGTGATCCCATTAGCATCCGTGACAACAAATTACTGCCTTTTCTATCATTGTTTATTTCCTGTAGCCTATGAACACACTCACCCTCCTTAGATATGAGCAGTGAATTTGACTGATATAAAGATCACCAAGGTGTAGAGTATTGAGGCAGTGAGGCAGGCCGGTCACTTGGTCTCTGTCGGCGTGCCCCCTGAGACTCACAGCACCTGTCCGTTTGCTGGGAGTGGAGGGCAGTGGGCACAGGGAGAGCAGCCTTCATCTCGCACACGCACAGTAACAGCTGACTAAATTGGAACAGGAATAATTTATGTGGGGCCTGTAGGGACGCTGACAGTTGCCGACATCGTAAGCTCATTATTTGCAAAGTCACTAGCGCCCTGTCAGGAGCTGAGAACAATCTGAGGATGTTCTGCCCTGGATACACATCCCATAATATGATACGGGCAAATTATACTCCTAACATAAGAGACACCAAGCCAATCAAGATATAGTGGAGTCACAGAGGTTCCTTCATTCCTTCCTGACATTACATATGTGTCCATGACTTCATTCAAGGTTTCATTCATCAGTTGGACATTGTCACTCGTCTTAAATAAGCCAGCAGTCGTCATTTGAAGAAAATCAAAATGAATTTAAAAAAAAAAGGCTTTTTTTTCTTTTTAAAAGACATGCCCGTGGAATAAATTCAGTGCCACGGTGGCTCAGAATAATCTAAATACATTAGCTTCAGCTTCCCGTGAAATAAAGGCTTGTATATGAAGTCATAATTATACATGTCTATCACGAAAGCACGGAGCTGACAGACGAGCCCTCACAAACACACTTCTTTGTTGTCACCTGTCTAGAAGCTAGTAGAGATCCTGGAGTGCAAATTCACCATGTACCATCCGCTTATATGACCACTGAGACATCCACACAGAAGGTACAGAAGCTTATTGAAGAAAAATAAAGCAGACTTGAGACTAATCTAATTCAGAAAGCCACCTTTTTTGCACACATGAACAAGGTGAGTGACATGAACTGTACAGTGAAATATACAGCTGATGACGTAAGCAAGTGCTAGTCAATTTGGCCAGAAACATCTGCCAAGCAACAAAATAATGTTACAGTAATTTGTTGGTTCACTTAAAGGCAGATGGAGCATCTTCTACATAATTAGCAATGGATTTGCAAGTTTCTTCTTGAGCCATTTATTCAGCATCCCATGTGGGTTTTCAAAAACATACCAATCAATGCAATCTTCCCATTTCCTGCTTTCTGTTTGCCCCCTTTATCCAATCAAATTTCTTCAAATTCAAACAGGTAAACTCAGTGGTGTCTCTAGAGATTTTGGGCCCCATGAAAACATTTCATATTGGGCCCCCAACTAGAACCAATCCAATTATGTTCCAGATTTTTTATGGTCCCTGAATAGTCCTAACTTTCCCTCCTTTTCCGGCGCCCTAGGTCAACTTATGCATAAATCTTAAAGAGCAGATTCTAAACAATATTGATATATTTGAAATATATTAGATAAACATATCAGATAAAACACATGCATAACAGGGGATTTCAGTGCAAACATCCCCTATCTATTCAACAAGAACAGAGCTTCTACCCATGACCACTTTTGGACCAATCAGATCAATTGTTCCGTCTTCTGTAGCTGAGCTGCTCTCCCTGATGCTCTCTGTCTTCTGTGAAATGACTCAATGAATCAACCTAGGGGACTGTCTGCCAGATTCGTGTTTTAATTAGAAGCCATCAGTCCTCCCTTCAGCAGAAATGAGTCTGATTAACACACAACACAGCATTTGCAATTCTGATGAATTACTCATCTCAATTAAAATAATAATAATAATTATTATTGTTATTGGATTCCTATGAAATGCATAGCCAGTGTTTTTGCTACATAAATCTATGGATTAGTGAGGAATTTCTAGTTTTTCCATGAGTAGATAAATACACAGAAGAAGAGAAAGCACAGATTATCAAAAAACAGGAGCTGCCACTCTCCTTTCAGTTGCTATTTCAGTGGCATAAATAAACAGGCATCATTCATTCGTATAGAAGGTTGGGGGCCTGATTTACTTCTGTTTTTGAAAAAGCAGGAAGCACTATAACCGACATCCTGGAGGGATCTCCATCTACATGTAAACCTCATGGCTGCCGGACGCACCAGGGAAAGCCATCTCATCGCTCTGACTCTCTTTCCAGAGTACAACATCTCAGCTGCAGCCATTGCCATCTTCAGCTTGGTGTTCATGATCTTGGGCACGCTCTGTCTCCTGTGTGCCTTTGGGAAAGGCAAAGACTACCTGCTGAAACCTGCTGGCATGTTCTTCACCTTTGCAGGTAGGATGGGAAGTCTGAACGTGTGTGGTTTGGTGTGTGTGTGTGTGTGCAGGTTTAGCTCGAATTCATTTAACTTCATTTCCTATACTTCATCATGGCATATTGTGGCCATTCATATGTAATCCAACGATGTCATGTACTTAGTTCAAAGCCCATAGACCTCAATGACACAAGTCTAAAAACATCAGTTCCAGAATTTCCAGTTTGTCAGTCTGTCTAGCTATCAGAAATTGTCTTCACTAAAACTGAATTGTAAAGGGTAAGTCATGGTGATGAGTAGCTCAGGAGGTATGAATCATGTGCATCAGTGCCTATATCGAGAAGGTTGTGGGTTCAATTTCTATCTACAGCAGAGTAATCATATGACTGTTGGGCCCAGGAGCATGGCCCCTAACCCCCACTACTCCAGGACTGCTAGCTGATCTTGCTCTGTGACGCCAAGCTTTCCTGACTTGTACATTAATTTGGACAAAGTTACCCAATAAATATAAAGACTACTTAGGACAAGGGTACAAATTCTGAAATATAAAACAGGACAGAGCTGGGAGGTTTCTATGGGCTGATATATGTGCCACTAGAAAATGAATATGAATTTTGTATATTTGAATCTGCAGTTATCCGCATTACAAAACTGAATCTGAATTTAATAGTTTGAATTTGAATTCCAGTAACTCGAAATAGCATTTATCCTACCTCGAAAAATTCAGTTTGCGAATTCAATTTCAATCTAGCGTGACACACCTAACTCGAGATAGTATTTATCCTACCTCGAAAAATTCAGCTCGCAAATTCAATTTCAATCTAGTGTGACACACATCCGGGTCCTTGAGAAAAAGTAATCGACCGCAGATTCACAACGCAACTCATTGCCACGTTTATGGCAGTTCTGCAGGTCGGGGTAAAGAGGAGGCGTGTGCCGGGATGTCAGAAAAACAAATGCTGGATTCGCAGGTTTGTCATTACCTTATGATACATATGAGAATAAGCTTTATATACACGAGCGATAACATAAATATTAACCATACGTCTGGTTAGTATATGGTAGTATATGTGGTTAAATGAACGATTTCTGGCACTTCTAGTTTATGTTAATATATGGTAGACTAACGCAAAACTAGCTAAGGATATGAATTTTACTTCTAGTTTAGTTTAAGTTATGGCTCGCCTGTTCATCTCATGTGGCTTTCTAGCAGTGTTTATGCAAAATATTTTTTTAAATATTCATCTCGCCGATATGAGGCGGAAATCAGTATTAATTTTATGTGAGTATGTAATATTATTTAGAACTTGATAATGTATAGATAATGTAAACATGACCAATAAAGTTATGTCCATCCAATGACATTTTTGTGGCGTTCGTGACTCTTTTCCTTTTTTAAACACCTGCATTACTAGCGTGTTTTGGTAATGAAAATTGCCTATAACTGATTACATAAAACATTACATTTTTGTGGAGAAAAAAACACTGAATATGAAATGTTAAGCAAATGTGCTTACATCCGCGATACACTCAAAATGGCGAATGGGGGCGTGTTAGACAGTGCAGAAACGTGACTGACAAAGACCGATGCAAGGTTTGCTACTGAAGGAAGGGTTTCGCAAAATTTCACTGCTGGGTGTTTAAAAAAACACAACTAGACATGGTCATGCCACCATTATGTTCAGCCGAGGGACCAAATAGTAAAAGAGATGATTGACAAACATCATCTAGTGGTGTTGATCAAGGGAGAAAACAACGATGGTGAATGGTTGAAGAAATGATGATGCTTAAGTGACGAGATATTGTTACACGATAAGAAAATGTATAAAAATGAGTGTAAAACAGTATTGGACACACTCCTGCAAGGTGTCCAGCCTTGGCTGTAACCTCACTGTGGCAATAAAGGCTGAATCTGAAGATCTACACAAGCGGATCCTGACTCCTGATTGGCGGGGAAGAAAAAAACACAACATGAATGCATCGATACACATACCCCCCTGTATCGACCTAAATGTAAAGTTATAAAGCGGGTTTGAGGTGCTATGCGTCTTGTCTGCTGCATGTCTACAGCGCTCTCTGTGTACTGTGCTAATAACCGGAAACATCAATTGGACTGGCGTTTAATATGGTGATCTGTATAAGTAGTGCTCTAAGTGGAGAAATAGAAGTGTCGCTACTGTATTGACCGTGAGAACGGCGGCGGGGGTCTTGGGAACAACAGGAGCGCCTCAACAACACTGACGGTACGGCGCGCGGTGCACCGCCACTCTCGCGTGACGCTTGTCTCTGAGTAGCAGAGTACTGGCAACTTGTGAAAAGTGGTGGTACGATAAAGATTAACATATAGCAGTGCCGGTACTGCTTCATTTTTATTACGTATATGATCCCGCATTTGCAATTGCGACACCCCGGCACACGCCTCCTCTTTACCCCGACCTGCAGAACTGTCGTAAACGTGGAAATTAGTTGCGTTGTGAATCTGCGGTCGATTACTTTTTCTTAAGGACCCGGCTGTGTGTCACACTAGATTGAAATTGAATTTGCGAACTGAATTTTTCGAGGTAGGATAAATGCTATCTCGAGTTATGCGTGTCACACTAGATTGAAATTGAATTCGCGAACTGAATTTTTCAAGGTAGGATAAATGCTATTCCGAGTTACTGGAATTCAAATTCAAACTATTAAATTCAGATTCAGTTTTGTAATGCGGATAACTGCAGATTCAAATATACAAAATTCATATTCAGTTTCCAATGGCACAAATATCAGCTCATAGGTTTGGTACTTCAAAACAGTTATGCAAAAATCCATATAAAAATGAACTGATGTGAAATAAAGAATGAAGCAGCAGGAAAACTCGAGACAGGAAGTGCTTTTGTTTAATGATTATTGTTTTGGAGCAATGATAGGAAAGAAATAGGATCTTCTTAATGCTGATGGGCAGTTCATTACACAGAAGGAGATGGCGGACAGACTGGGATCTCAAAACTGAAGAACAATGACATGCCAGTTGAGTGTGGTCTCAGGGGATAGCATTGATTGTAGCAAGAAATGACATAAACATTAAACAGAAATGGAACATTGAATGCATTCTTACAAATGAGTTGATAAATGAGTACAGTGGTGGTAATCAGCCTTTACTGCAATGGTGTGATACACAGAGGGTATTAATGGGTAGCGTGGCAGCATCGTAAGAAGTAACTGTGGCTTCACATCTCCAGAGTTATGTGTGGCTTTGACATGCCCTTCTTGTGTTATCCTCCTGCAGTCCAAAAACACTAAGTTAGGCAACAGCAGCAGCTCTGTATTTCCCTTGGTATGTAATTATGAGCATTATGATGGACTTGCATCCTGTGCAAAGTGTTCCCCATTAGCCTGTAGTGGATAAGTTATTATGAAAGATACAACACAACCACGCTCATGGGAGTTTGACTTGCACAAAAATGTCCTGAGGGCAAAACGAATAATGATTGGTTCAGAGAGGTAACCAATCAGATTGTAGAAAAGGTGGATCCAAAGCAACTAGAGGGAATGGTACCAACCAATCAGATGTCTAGGTCCAACCTCCTCTACAGTCTGATTGGTTATCTCACTGAACCAATCATGTTTTGTTCTCCCCTCAGAACATTTTAAGTAAAACTCCCACGAGCCAAAACCATGTGCAAGTCCGATACTAAAAGTTTTCATACAGTTGTCTTTTTAAGAATATTCTTCACTTATATTGTGGAAATTTATTTGAAACCATTATTCTTGGACTGCTGAAGTAGCCATTGACACTGTATGGCTGTTTAACTCAAATGATTAAACTTGTACACATTACTAATTATAATTATCAATTTATAGCTTATTCCAGATGATAATAACCTGTATTGTTCACATACAGGTGTTTGTGTAATCATCTCGGTGGAAGTGATGCGGCAATCCGTGAAAAGGATGATTGAAAGTGAGGACACCATCTGGATTGAGTATTATTACTCGTGGTCCTTTGCCTGCGCCTGTGCGGCCTTCGTCCTGCTATTCCTCAGCGGAATAGCCCTGCTTGTCATCTCCATGCCTCAAATACCACGTAACCCCTGGGAAACCTGCATGGACGCAGAACCGGAGACCGCCGAGTAAAGACCTCAAGGCGGACAAACGAGGCACTTGTGTCGTCAAGTCAGGCTATTTAAGACAGGATTTCTGAAAGTGCGAGTAAAGATTTTCAGAAGTATGATTTGTCAAAATATATATTTTCGACGACTTTGTACTTTAAACCACCAACTGAAGCTTATAGTTTGAAGCGATCAAGTTCAATTTCGGTGTTTCCTTTTTTAAATATATAAGCAGTTTTTATGCTTGAAGAGTGCTTTGCTCTGTTGCAGTACAATTGAACATTTTAATATTTTATATTTCATGGCAGAACTAATGAGGAATTTTTGAAGTAAACAGAAAGTAAAGCTATGTTAGTATAAAAAGAAAACTGTTAGAAGTTGATGTGATAATCAAAAACATACTAAAGTCACGGGCCCTGTTATTAGGCTGTGTAACAATTAAATCTTTTTTTCCCCTTTACATACAACTGGAAAATACCCAGAATTATTTCCATTGCTTAGAGCACTGGATGAAATTATTTTTGAATATATAGTTAAAAGAAATCCTTTAATTAAGCATAAATACACTTTGATACCACAGGCTTTTGGGAGCGAAGACAGCAAAAGGCTGTTTTTACTCGTGCGCCTGAAATCAGTGCGCAGAATGTTAATGGCCAATTGCCCCGTCTCTCTGAAAAGCTCAATGCTGGACCGCATTCAGGGAGCGCAGGTGTGCACGGAAATGAAGGGAAACTCAGGCGGGATCTAAGTTTATTTTTACAGTAAACAAGCAGATCTTGTTAGACAGGTTAGAGATCCCTGTGTAGTTGTTGATGAAATTTCGTACTTTATCTAAACGAGTGCACCATTTTCGTATTTGTAGACTGTCCACGATTTACAACACGTCACCTTAAAACAACTCACACATGCAAAGTTTCTCTTTTTTTTTTTTTAAATTAAGGAAATATATGCAAAAATAGGTTATACGATCCGCAGCCTTGTGCCACCTAGTGCATATTGCTGGCCATATTATAGATGCTACTAGAAGGTACTGTACTGTATGGCAGTGTGACCATCCCAGCCTCACATGCATCCCCAGGTCTCATTCGCACACCTAAAAGTCAGTGCGATTGGCCTATTCCGGCATACGTACAACCACTGCGACTGAACAGAGGCCAGCCAAAAGTCAGGGACAGACTATATCAGGCAGTTTCTGTCGGGGGACATATTAAGGGTTGCGACTGATGGGGCCGACCTGCCTGACAGGCAGCATAGGCGATCGCCTAGGGCACCATTTGATTAGGGGGTGAAAAAGAGCAAGCGGGGGAAAAAAAAATCATAATACATGATATGAGTTATTTACACTAGTTTTAATATTTAACTTTTGTTGTGAAACAGACGCCAGCTAGCCAGTTAGCAGCCAGATACCGTGTGCTACCAAAATGTTTTTAATATAAATGAATTGACAAAATTCGTTTCCTGCTGCTGGGGGGGGGGGGGGGGGGGGGGTTGAGCAGAATCTAGCCTGGGGTGCCAAACCACCCAGAGCCGGCCCTAGGGACTAACCTGGCAAAGTGCTTAAATTCACTGCACTGAAAACCATACACGAAGCTTAGGATTTTTCTTTTTTTTTGTGCTGTTTGAAATTTCATAACGCCCATTTTATGGTTTTCGTTTTGAAGAAAAACATGTTCAATTTGTTCCAGAAAACAACACAAACAGTAGCCATCATACCTCGTTTTTTTCTTGTAAAACAAGTACTGTAAAATTCAGTAGTAGCCTGTTTTTTTATACTCAAAGTTAAATACTGTTATGAGGTTTTAACTTTCAATAGGCCTGTATCATATGAATTTGAAGTATGAAACTGACAGGAAATGTCGTACGGGTTTGATCAGAGATAACAGAGGTGCACATTGTCTCTTTTTTTATGGTGTTTCTAGTATGATGTAATCCTTTGGCAAACGGATTTTAAATAAAAATAAATATATAAATAAACTTGAACTGGTTTGACATAAGAGTGTCAGTTACCACCCCCCTCCCCTGAATGCTGAATCTTAAAACACCCTCAGCACCTTTAGTGACAGAGGTGTTATTTTTGCAAGAAGGAGGTGGGGTGCAAAATGAAGTTAAAGTTGAAAGCCAAGGCAGGCTCACGATTCCCCTCCTGAGCCATTCGAGGAGAGCGCTGGATCCCCATCAGCCCTGTCGGCTAACGCTGCCGAACGAGTACGGCCCGTGTGCCCCATACAGGGGGAGATTCACACTGGGGTGTTTGTGGTGGCATCTATCTGAGGAAAACACGGATGAAAGAACAACAGAAATGATCCCATGTCCCCTGCTGCATTATACTTGATAAACAGCACGCTTGATGCAGATAATTCGAGCTCATGCTTCCCTCCCTTGCGGAGAAGCTAATTGCTAATTCCCACTTCATTGACATGCTCTGGTTAGACAAAGGCACCTGTCTTTGTAGTGCTAATCATACCATAAGGACAGCAGTGCAGGAGCAGGTGAATATACCACATATAAATTCTCTTATCACCTTGGAAGGCGTTCACTCCATGATCTTCGGTTTTCCCTCTTTTGGTGTACTTGCGATAAACTCTTAGCACCTAATTCAACAACAAGGAGTTTAAAACAGTGGAATGATGGACACACATGGACACACCACTAGCACAAATCTTATGTGGATATTTCATTCTTACACAGCTAAGCATTCAGTAGCTTGCATTGCTGTTGAGGAAAAAAAATTGATGACCAGATGCTCTTGCCCCTCCCCCAATATAATTTAAATTACATTATGTAAAACGGCTTCTTTAGTCCAATTAGCAATTACAGATGGCGCTCTTGCCCACAGCGAGTTTGATCAAGGTCCAATCAGCCTCACATACAAAGGGATCTTGGACTTTCTGGGCAGAGACCCAAACATCCCAATCACACACTGACAGGCTGCGGTCTGGAGGTTCCAGTTTCACTGCATTTCTGGGTCAGTGCCGTGCCAAACAGATACTGCGGGCACTTCTGGACCCAGGGACACAACAGCACAGGAGTTCATTTAACAGCCCTGAGTGGCAGGATCACTGCCCAGAGTCCTTTCATAAGATGCAAGATCTGCGGACCTTTAACTTCAACAAAACTATTCAACATATTCTTCATTACCTCAAAACAGTTGTCACTCAAATTTAGACAGTCTCCCAGTGCATTAGCCCGACTTCAAAGCATCTTAATAAAATGAAGATAATTTCAATAAAAACACTTTAATAGAGTAACAAATAAAAAAGGCAAATTAAACTTTTTTTAAACACAGCCTAAACCTTCAAAAGAAATCACCACCAAATAAAAGCAAAAATAAAAATAAATATTTTATATATATATATATCCACTGTTTGAGAACGGAAAGGAACTCAAACGAGGATGCCGGTAGTCTGTGGAGAAATAGATCAAAAGTGGAGAGGGACATAGCAGACAGCTGAAGAACAGGCAGAACACAGTGCTTTCTACCAACACCTGGGCAAAAACTGCTCCCTGAAGCTGATTGGTCACTTGGCAGCCGGGACCATCTCCTCACCCAAAAGAATCCAATCGCTGGCTCGGTTGTTGGAAGTCAATTACTGTACAAAGGCAACCAGCCACCGCATGGTCAAGATTCCCCCTTATTTAAACAACCGTACAAACTCGATACCCATAACCCTATGGTATTCCTCTCCTCTTTTAAAAATGATTAAAGCATGCTATGGTGGAGGGGAACATGGGCAATATGGCTGAAAATGGCTCAATGTTCAGTCAAAAAATGTGACTTTCCATGTTAAAGTACATTTCAACAGAGGATTGAAGAATTTTGCAATGGAATTAAGAATGTACCCTATCCACAAGCAGAATGAATTTCAGTTTGCGCACATACCATCAGACAGAATTAAAAATGAGTGGAGATTCACCGAAAACCCTCAGATAAAGAAGGAATTTCTTTTTTTTTATATAAAAGCTGGCAACAGAGATGCAAAACAAAACTAACAAGCAAAAGGTGTGTAGAGAAAAAAAAACTCCTGTCAGGACTGGTGGTGTTAAAATCACCATAAGCAGAGTTTTAATTGGATCCTCGAGAAAAGAACTTTGCCAATCAAGTACAAATAAGTACTTGCATCCTGACTGGGGAACAATTTTTGCCCAGTACATTAAAGTACTGACAATTGTTGCATAACTATTCCATTATTCCGCAACAAATTAGTAAAATATTAGAACTGTTGTTCATAATGTCACAATTTATTTTACACATCAAATATCAAAATCTGACTTTGCAGGAAAAGAACAAGATGTCGCACAAATCCGTATATCGCTTGATAAGGGAAAGAAAATAACCAGGTTACCTTGACATGCACAGAGAAATAGTCGTCACAAAATGTATCATTGAAACTACAAAGCACCTAGGAAAAAAAAAAAATGTAACCCATGATTCTTTAAAAAAAAAAACAAAAAAAACATTTCATTTAAAAAATTAATTTCTATGCCTGCAACTAAACTTTTATTTGTCAAGCCACCAGACATTTTGTGTATTTTAAAAGAACAAAAAACACATTTAAAAAGCTCTCTTTTTCACAGGAGCTACTGCCAGTGTCAACACACTTGTTTTGTCCATTTGTTTTTTCTTTTATTTTTGCATAATTAAAAAGGGCATACATCCTCTTAAAACAGCTTTATAAAAGTGAGGCAACCCCTCTATATCTTTGTTGTAAAGACCTAGAAAATGTGTATTTACAAAAATATGCTTTAATGATAAATTGTACGACATTGAATCGTGACGGAGAATCACAATGACGGCAAAATTTCAGGAAAACACTGTCAAGGGGGCAAATTTTTGTTTCTTTGAAGCTGATCGAATCGTTTTTCATAAAAATGAACTTTCTTTGTACAGGTCTGTCTAGGCCATAATATTTCATTCCTAATGCTTTTTTTCTCCCTTGTAAGCGGCACGTCCCAAGCTAGCTTGTTAAATTGTATATTTAACAATTATAACATCACAAAACTGCGCCACCAATCACAAGCCTGAGTGATCCACTAATCTTTCCAAATGGCCATCCGGCTGCATCTGTCTGCGCATGCCTTGGTCTGCATGTGTTCATGAACGTTTGTCTTTCGCAACAAGCCAAAACATCACAAATGTGCAAGACGTGAAAGGCTTGAAACTACATGAATTCAGAAGCACAGCTAATGTCATTCTGAGCAGCAGTTATACTACAAACCCAGTGGCCGCAGTCAGCAAGTCACATAAACTAACATAATTTGAAATGATCTGAAACGCAAGTGAAAGTATGAACATTTACAAGTGTGTAATGTTCTGTACAGGGTCTTTGCAGGGTTGCTTCTGGCGAGCAGCTCTGTCACTAGGAGAAAAAAAATTGTAATAAAGTAACAGTTTATAGGTTCTTCTGGACCCATGTGTATAGAAACAATCCAACTGCACAAAATTAAAACGTCACGAAGTCCCAATGGCGTTAAAATGGATGATCTACCTTGCAACCTCAAGAATTCAGCTAGGCCAGGCAGAAGGAGCTGAGTAGTCCGATGCCCCTGAAGTACGTGGGGACTACCCGCTCCCCATACACCAAACTCCTCTCCGCATTCTCCACAGCAGACTAATCGATTCAACCTCTGGATCTTCCGCGTACATTCCCATAACACTTCCATAACCGAGGCCAAAGGTCCGTCTCTGAAAATAAATGGCGCTTAGACTAAGCACGTCATAGACTGTCAAACACTTCTCCTTGCTTACATTCCAATCGAGAGAAGAAAACAATTCTAGGGCAAATGCAGTACTGGGGGGAATGTTACCTTTTTAAAACACAAATCATGAAGTAGATCTATCAATAATGAGCGAACGTGCTTTATTGAGCGTAACGGTAGTAACTACTTTAGAAGCATCAAGCAGGAAGTGAGGAGTGTGTGTTTGTGTGGAGGCCTTAACGCAGCCTCAATGTGCAGCATTTTCCTTTTCCAAAATATTTTCCGCAAACTAATGACCATGAGACTACCAAGAGTGCCTTAAAATACGCCCTTTTGTCTTCATATTTATCACTGATGCAGTCCCGCCACAGCTGATAAAGAAACAATGTATCCCATTGCAAGGTAAGAAGGAATATGCTTTACTTTGTGACATTTTGGCTTGTTCTGCTGTGTATTTGAATCTTTTTTTGTTTTTAAACAATTATTTAATCGTTAAAGTTGATAAGTTTCCAGGTGGACATTAAAGGAAAAAAGACCGAAGACGGGGAAAAAAAAATACTAAGATTGGTTTGTCACAATGACCAAAACAAATTCTAAAGCTAACGCTAAATTAAGCATGTGCATACATCAAGTTTATTTTCTATATATGTACAGGTTAGAGAAAAGGAACCTACTTCTATACAATGTTTCATATATTTTGTATGATTTGGTTGACCTCTCAGCTGATCCCAAAGTAAAGCACTGCTGGGGAAAAAGAAACACTGAAAAAAGAAAAAGAAAAAAAAAAGAAAAATCAAGCAAAACATTTGTGGCTGATTTTCAAAAAACCGGCAAACAAAAGGAAAATGAGGGGAAAACAAAACAAAACAGGCAGCATTAAGGTCAGCCAAATCTTTTTTTTTTTTTTTTTTTTTTTTCTATTACTTAATTTATATATATATATATATATATATATATATATATATAAAT